AAGTTACTGATGAGCAGCGAATATTAGGAAACGAGACTACAAATATGAGAGAGACATTTTTTTCATAATAAATAGCAGAGATACATTAGTAGATCTAGCCTAAAATATTACTGGGGGCGAGGGTTATCAGTTTTAGCTTCTCAAAATAAACGCCAGAGTTTCAAAATGATTTAACTTATTTAGCTGCAGGAGGCTGTGCTAACTGCTGCAGCTGGTGGACAACATGAGACATTCTAGGACGCATAGACGGGACATGCTGTGTGCAAGAGTACACAAGGTCCACCACTTTCTGAACAGTTCCAACTTCAGGTATTTGAGAAGAAGACGACGATGTTATAAGAGGATCCAAAAGCTCAAGATAGCGATGAGCTTGCACCAGTGGTGTAGCCCACTCAAATATGCTTTGCCAACCTACTGAATCAACAGCTTGTGCCGGTCTACGTCCACTGATGATTTCAAGTAAAAGCACCCCAAAGCTGTATACATCACTCTTCGTTGTAAGCTCGTTTCTATAGACAAACTCCGGAGCAAGATATCCATGAGTGCCACCGGCCATGACCCTCCTTTCATGCATCACTTCCCAAGGAACGAACTTTGATAGGCCAACTCCCATTAGATGGGCACCGAAGTCTTCATCAAGAAGTACGTTACTTGCTCGGACATCACGATGCACAACTTGTGGCTTAACCTTGTCGTGGAGGAACCTGTTACAATTCATAAAATGAGTAACAGTCACAAACACTTCAACTACAACTCAGAATTTTGGAATATCAAATAAAGCTGCAGGCAAAATATAGTTCATCTAGGCAGATCACCACCTGGGTGATCAGGCTTTTTTGATAGCCTAATATAGGCCAAATGGTTTTAGTTTCTGTATCTATTGATTCCTATATTTAATATAAAACTTGTACCATAGATGAATTTTCACCTTCTATTAGACACCATTGTACTCTTGAAAGACAGTACAAGTTAACATAAATCCACATACAGAAACTTTATTGAATANNNCCACATACAGAAACTTTATTGAATACTAGTGTACGCTCGTGCGATGCACGTGCTGCAATTTAGTTGGGTATTTAATAGCGTATAGTGATTTTAAGTTATTTTTTCACTCTTAATGTTTGTATAATTGTATGAATTGAGTTTAAATAGCCAAATTGTACCTGAAAAATTAGTATTCTAATAATAATAGCTTCAATTAAAAATGTATTTGGTGCAAATGAAAAGTAATATACATGAAAGCTTCGAGATGATTATAGTTAATTGATTAATTAAGTTATGGCTCATACAACTTGGGAGCTTTTGTAGCAAAGCATCAAGATTTCTTTCCTCAACACCTTTAAGTTTTTCTTTTTCCTTTTTTCTTTTTCTTTTACTGTTTTTTTGTTTTCCTTTCTTTAGGTTGTTTGGTCCTTTTTTTTTTTGCCTTTTTTAATTTTTGTTTCACGTAAAATTCAAACTTCAGCACAACAAGGTTCTCCATCCCTATCATACTTCCAATCAATACTTCTAACAAAGTCAAGGCTTGTATTTTTAATCAAGCCTTGATATCTCAAGATAAGAGCCTGTTCCAATATTTTGTTACAGAAGATGCTATTCTTCTGAAAGAGTCTAAAAGGCTGGAAACACCAAATTATATACCCATTCTCCAAATTCAAATTTCTTATTGGTAGAATAGAAATTTGTTAAATTTAATCAGGTAGTACACTATTTTTTTCCAAGTTTATGCATCACATTTTTGCACAATAAAGAAAATTGGGTCTCCCTCGAGTTGCTCCTTTCCCATTCTGAGAAGTAGCTAATTCTGAAGAAGCTAGATCAGCATTCAAGTGTTCGCGTAGCTTCTCAATCCTTCTGTAATGCAATTGCCACAAAGCTTACTCTACATCCGTTGCTATGCATTTGGGTTTGATGGTACTCTGGCTTGTGCCACTTTCGTACGCTTGTTGACCAACTCATTCTATAGTGAAACAAAAACTCAGGAGAAAAGAACATAATTGATTGAAGAGTATTGTGCAATCATGACAACGACATATTTTTTAAACCACCAGATTGGACAAGAAAAAGTGGCAATCATTCAGTTAATGTTCTGAAAAAAGAAGAATTATTACCGTGTTTTCGCATGTTTTTGTATGTTACATGGATTTGCATACACGTGAATAACAATGAAAATGTACAATGCCAGATGAATATCCAGCAGATAATAATAAGACTTAAATGAGTGATGCATATGCATACCTTGTTGAAGAGACGTTGAACATGCTCCCTTGTTGAATTTTCTTTATTATCATCCATCAGAATGAAATGGTCATAATTGATCAGAAGCAAAAGTGTGTAACTTCAGAAGCAACATATAACATAATCCATAAGAAACTGTCTGCAGTATAGCCTTTAAATCAGTAATGTGCAAGAAGTATAAGGCAAGATTTAGACATCCATAATTAGTAAGCACACTAAGGTAGGAAAAAAAAAATTAAGTTATTTGATATACATTTGGAATTCAAGTAAGAAAAGCAACTTTGTAGTCAAGAAGTAATAAATTCTAACCAATAGTAAATTGAACTACAATAATCTTCTGTGGCATTATTATGCATTTATAAGGTAATGTCAACAACTGTAGGCTTTAGTATAAAAAGGCATAACATCACCAGAATAAGCAGCCAGAAAACTGACAAGC